GCAAGTAGAGAAGACTCTGTGCTTGCCCCCAGCAGAGGGGACTTTAAGGATGGTGTGCATGATGTGGGCATAAGAGACAAGGACACAGGAGAGAGGGACCACACCCGAGAGGGCAGCTTCAGTGAACATCATGACCTGGAAGATATGAGTGTCTGAACAGGCAAGTTTGAGGAGTGGGAGAAGATCACAGAAAAAGTGTGGGATGGAGTGGGAGGCACAGAAGGAGAATTGAGCCATCAGGAGAGTTAGTGAGAAAGCCAGGAGGTGGGAGCAGAGCCAGGACGTGGCCACCAGCAGCAGGCACCGTTGGGGATTCATGACCATGGTGTAGTGGAGAGGAAGGCAGATGGCCACATAGCGATCATATGCCATCACGGCCAGCAGGAAGTCATCGAGCAGGGTCAATGCCATGAAAAAGTACATCTGCATGAGACACCCGGTGTAGGAGATGGTGTGATCCTGTGTGTGGATGCTCAGCAGCACCTTGGGGACAATGGTGCAGGTGAAGCAGGTATCGATGAAGGACAGGTTGGCCAGGAAGAAGTACATGGGGTTGTGAAGGCGAGGGTCAGAGCCAATGGCCAGGATGATGAGCAGGTTCCCCAACACAGTGACCAAGTACATGGCCAGGAAGAGCCCGAACAGAAGAGGCTGCTGCTCTGGGTGCTCAGAAAAGCCCAGCAGCAGGAAGTCAAAGATGCTGGTTTGGTTTCTAATTTCCTTGTAAGGTAGAGAAATTAGCAGGGAATTCTGGTTATGTAGGCTAGGCTTTACCAAGTACAGAGTCCAAGGATTTTGGTTTGGTTTTTTCTCGTTCTTTGGGAAGGTCATTGAGATTCACTAGTGGCTGCAACTGCACATTTGCAAACATGTACAAATATGACGACTGTGGACTATGCTAATAAGAAATTGGGATGAGGGTGTTATTTTGTTCCTAGATTTCTGTAATATTTCAATGTCTCCCCATTGTTTTCCTGAATGAAACTAAACTGGAATTCACCTTAAAAACCCTTGAACAACAGTTTTAACCTCATTGTCTTATTGTGGAACTTATTTTGGGGCCACACACACACTAGTGGGCAGCACAAGGTGCTGTGTGTGTACATCTGTGAGTGTGAGTGTGCATGTGCCGATGGAGAAGGAAGACAGAGTAATTTCTTCAGAGAGAAGCAGCTGAGACTTAGGGTCTCTGGGTGTGCTGGGGGTGTGGTGGCACCTTACCTTTGCTGACGGTTGCAATGAGTTAGTGTGGATGTGAGAGGGTCGTGGACGGCAATGCACGCTGCCATTAAGGGCACCTCATTTTCATTTTCATCACCGATTTCACCAACACCACCTTTTACTTTCAGATTTGGGCTGTGGCGTCTTGGAGACTGGGTGGGAATTCTTTCTCTGCTCCTTATTCTCAGTCTGACCAGAGTCAGTCTGACCTCTCTGAACCTCTGCTTCCTAGCTTGTACCATGTGTGACTTCTTCACAGAGTCATTGAAGTAATTATGGAGACAACATAGGGAAAGCAGGTCTTCATTAAGGGTATTGACTGTTATTGTCATTTTTAGAAATGGTTGATGAAATGCGACCCTGAGACACAATGTAGTGGAAAGCGTTGGGTGATGTGTTTTTCAGTTTTGTTCCTCACGTGTCTCTAAAACTTTGGGAAGTATTTACCCCCTTTGATCCTTGCTTTTCTTATCTGTCAGATGTAGATAATAACCCTACCTGATAGGTTTGTTGAAGGGACCAAACGCTGGAGTCACTTGAAGTTTCTTTGTGAATCATGATGTGCAATCAAAGTGAGAAATTCCAACGTTTCTGTTTGGTCGCGTGGAGGAACAAACACAACGAACATTCAGTGACAGCATGTGCTAAGGACATGATGGTTTAGTGTCATGATTAAAGATGTAACATCCCCTTCGGAGTCTGACAGAATTTCCCCACTCTTTGTGTGACTTTCAAAATTTCTCTTGACTTATTTTCCCACGTCTATTTAAAAGGGTTAATAATAGAGTTTATTGTGAAGAGTAGTTGCGAGGATTCAATTTGATAATGATTGTTAAATATTTAGAACAAGGCTGACACATAGTAAGTAGCGAATAAATATTATCCATTATTGCTATTACTGTTTGTAATAAAACCTTCTTATTGTTGTGTCCTGGTTACTGCCTGTGTGTTGGATTTGTAAACTGTGAGGTGTCAACGTTAAATGACCATTAGCATCATCACCCCCATCACCATCATCACCTTTGAATAGTTTTGATTCTACTCAGAACCATTAATGGAAAAGCACCTGTTTTGGCATCTGTAAACCAAGTGTAAACTTGGCCAATGAATGTAATCATCACAGGCCAAATATTGTTAGTTGTATAATGAGAATAAATAAGACTATCTTACAATGTTATGCACCAGCTCAGATTTTAAGAAAAAGAAAGGATGTGGATGAGGTTGGTAAACTGTAAATGGATGTAGAGAAGTAAATTGCTGGTTTGACCTGGTGTGATGGTTGTGAGTGATTCTGGGAACCATGCCTGTCCCGTGGACCGAGAGTGGATTATGCTTTGTTATTGCTCAGGTGCTATGCACTGGTCACTGATGGGCCTTAGAGACGGGTGGTCTGAGCCCCATTCTCCACCATGACCTCAGGCTAGATCATCAGGAACCCGATGAACACTAGGGCTAAGCAGCCCTCTTGGTGATGAGAAGAGCCAGAAAATGATCCTCAGAGAGGGAGAAAGGAAAGAAAGGGGAGAAAGTAAAAAGGGAGAAGATCTGTGGGTTCTGTGTGTGTGTGCGCACCTGCATGGGCCTTCGGTAGATTCTGCTCTCTCTCCTTGTCCCTGTGCCTCAGTTCTTACCTGGGAATACTGGCAAGCCTCTGACTCTGTCACTACCACCAAGAAGACTGAGTTTGCTTCCCCATTGTCTCTCCAAGAAAACATGCTGGAGTCACAGAGCCCTTCCCTGAAGTCTCAGGTCTTCAGTAATACTACAGGCACAGGAGCCAGGAGGAGCTATTGACTTTTCACATGCAGTATCTCCTGGGACCCAATCCCAGACTTCCTAGCTAGAGACAGGATGGGGCAATTGTCCAACCTTCCAGCTGTCCCTTCTGTACTGTAGTCCCTTGGGTACCAGCAGTGTCAGTGATGCCTCCAGAATGACCAGAGCTGGGATCCATGGGGCCACTGCTCCTGGGTTTTCTCTTGGGTGAGCTGCAGGTTGAAATTCATCATCTTCCTTTCTTACCCTGAGCAGGGCCCATCCTTCTCATGGAGTCAACACTTTCGAATTAGAGTCCAGTCTTCACAGATAAAATACAGTATGTTTTAGAAAATAAGTAAAAAGTAAAGAATAAAATAGATCAGACATCCAAATCATTGCCTTCAAATATCATATTCTTATTCTATGGCCCCAGGTAGCAGAGAAGGCTAATATATAGACTCTAAATTAAGTGCAGGTGTTATGCTATAGGTCAGATATGTCCCCCAAAAGTCTATGTGCTGGAGGCTTGATCCCCACTGTGACAATGTTAAGAGGGTGGGGTTTCTGATTATGACATTTGAAAGGTGGAGCATTTAAGGGGTGTCTAGATTGTGAGGACTGTGCCCTCCTGAATGGATTAATTCATTGATGGGCTAACGGGTATTCACGGGCATGGTTCTGATGGCTTTACAAGGAGAGCAAGTGGGAAGTTTAGCTCTCTCTTGCTCAGCCCATTCTGACCATGCGATACCCTGTGTTGTTGTGGACAGAAACCACCAAGAACAGGGGCCTCACCAGATGTGTTCCCAGGACCTTCCCAGCCTCTGAAACTGTTAAGAAACAAAGTATATTTCTTTATAAATTACCCAGTTTCAGGTGTTCTGTTATAAGCAACAGAAACGGACATGCTTTCTCTGGATTTCTGTATTTATTTTTGTTGTAAATAAATCCTACATGCAAATGAATGTATGAAACATAGGTGGTGTTTAAATAATGATAATAAAATTAATGCCCATTCTCTCACTACCCAGCTTAAATAGTATATGACTCAATCCTTTTGAAGCCCTGTGTGTGCCTCTTTCCAGTCACATTTCTGTCCCCTGCGTTTACAGGAAACCTCTACCCTAAGTATTATACACCGTTTTCTTACTTTTTTTTTTGTAATTTTACCACATAAGCACATATGTCTAAACTATACACAGTATGCTTTGAATTTGCCTGTTTTTGTCCTTTTCATAAATGAAATTATACTTTTCAGTATTCTTTTGCTTCTTATTTTGTTTAACATTATTCTTTTAGATTCATGCAGGTAGCTGAAGGGCACTCACGTCCACTGCTGTCTCGTACAGGTCAATAATCCCTCATTATAAACTCCTTTTGCCTGATGAATTTCAGAATTCAGAACTTTCGGACTTGGAAGTATTTGCATGTCCTCTAAGATTCTATTAGAAGGTTCTAGGGTAGCATTCCCTAATCAAACACATAGTATTTCCACAACAGGACGAATGAACATTCACACTAAGTACAGCTAATAAAGAATATAAATAGCCTCATGTAAGCTCAGATCGTAGTTTGCAGCTAAATGAGTTCACTACAAACCTTAATAAAAATTTTCTCCTGTCCAAGCTTTTGGATGATAGAAATATAGATAGATATTCTGGTGGATGTGTAGTAGTTATCTCCTTGTGTGCATTTATAAAATTAAATAGTGGCATATAACATGTACAGAGAACTGCACAGGACACAAATATACCACCCAAGAAATTCCTAGAAACCAATTACCTGTTCAATAATTAGAAACCAACTAGCCAGGGCAAGGAGGAGAACTTTGCCAGAACGCTGAAGCTCCTCCTGTGACCCTCCTAGTCAGTACTTTTCTCGCCTCCAAGTTAAATAATCACTGTCCTCTTTCTAACATTTTATTTTAGTCTTGCTTCTTTGTGAACTTTGTGTAAATGCAATACAACATTACATAGTCTTTTTTTCTGGCTCCTTTTGTTCGATATTCTACACTGGTAAGATTATCTAGATTACTGTACATAGCCGTAGTTTTTTCATGTTCATTGCTGTGAGTTGTTCCATGGTATGATGGTACCACATGACACTCACATGATCTGTTGTTGAAGGGACAGTTGGTTTTCTGGCTAGTTGGAATGGTGCTGCGATGGTCATTTTGTACACGTTTCTTGGTCCACATGTGTATTTCTTTATGTTGCAGATACACCCTTGAGTGCAATGGCTGGATTCTAGAATGTGCATGTCTTCAGTTTTGATATGCAATGTCAGACTGGTTTCCAAGGAGATTGCACCAAATTACATTTCTACCAGCAATAGGTGAGGGCTCTGGCTGTTCCACATCCCTTCATATCACTCGGTATCAGTTTTCTTGTCATAGTCATTCTGGGGTGTGTGTGTGCGTGCGTGTGTGTGTGTGTGTTGGGCCATTTCCTACTGGTTTCATTTTATATTTTAGGGATTAATAATGATATTGAGTACCTTTTCAATACTAACTAGCATTTTTATTGCTTGGTTTTTGAGCTGTTTAAATTTTTGTTCATTTTTCAGTTAGTTATCTGTTTTATTCTTATTTGTAAAAACTATTTAAATATTCTAGATGCTAGTTCTTTGTTGATAGGTGCTACAAATATTTTCTCTTTGTGGCTTGTCTTTTTACTCTTTTTACAGTGCTGTTTGCTAAATAAATGTTTTTAATTTTAATTTATTGAATTCATCAATTTTTTTTTCTTAGTGCTTTATTTAGATCTGGTTTAAGATGTCCTTTCTTCCTTCCTTGAGTTTAGAAAGATATTTTCCAGTAACCTCATTTAAAAAGTTTGTAATTTGCCTTTAAA